TATTTAGAATACTATTTTCGGCTTAAGAATTTAGTCTACTAAAAATTAGAGAAATTTCAAAAAATGTTATTTTTCAAGTGCCACTTTTCAAAAAATGCCACATTTTCAAAATCTTTGAAAAAATGCCACTTTTTCAAAAAAATTTATTCATTATATCATTTATATTTGTGTTAACTATATTGTACTAGGGTTTAGTTTTGAGAGTTTATGAGGTTTTAAGGGTCAAAACATTTTTTAGGGTTTATAATTTTAAAATTTAGGATCAAAAAATTCATAATTAATAGTATTTTTGCAAATGGATAACATATAGTGGCATTTTTACAAATTTACACACTAAAAATGACATTTTTACAATTGTCCCAAAAAATTATGTTATTCCATTCGTTACAGTAGAGATAATCTCGTCATGGAATAATTTCCTTAGTTCTAAGAAAAGCTGTGTGATAAGAGAATATATAATTTACTGTTAGTCAAAACTAATTTAATGATGATCCAACTATTTTACATGTTTTTATTTTATGTGAAAAATACTAAAACGATATTTATTTTAAAATATAAAGAGTTTTTTTTTTTTTTTTAACATCAGAAAGAATAATTCCGTCTTATATATCTCGATATCAACCCATGTATGTGAAGTACGCAGTTTTCTTTTGCTGTTAGTGTTGTAGCCAAATTAAATAACGTTCTGACAACAGTTCAAACTTTTATTATGATCAAAAGAATAATGACATTAGTAAACAAAATTTGCCTCGTCAAAATAACTTCACGGCAAATAATATAATAACATTTTTTAATAGAGAAATTAGGCTCTATATTAGTTATTGGCTCTATATTTAATTATCTAACATAACATATAATGAATTTTAGTAACTAATATTCCAATTACTTGAGATTTCAATTTTATCCTTAATGTATTTGATGTATTTAGAGAAATTTCAAAAAATACCACTTTTCAAGTGCCACTTTACAAAAATGTCACACTTTTGAAATCTTTACAAAAATGTCACTTTTTCAAAA